ATCCAAACACGAAAGGTGCCATGGAATACAGGGATGTTCCTTCCCTGTGTGGAAAGCTGGGATGGTTCTGACACAAAATTGGGATTTTTCTGTTCTCTCCTTGTGTTTCATAACCTGCATTCCAGAGGCTCCATGGATCATAAATTCATATCCCAAACTGTTGCCACAAGGCATGGCAGAGATTCCAGAATCCAAATTCCTTGGATGACTTGCAGAAATCAGGGAGATGTCTGTGCTGCTTCCTCAGCCTCCTGCAGCCAGAGGGGAGGGAGGAAGGAGCAGCTGGAGCTGCGCCTCTGGAATCTGTCAGGAATTCATCCCAGGTTGGGCACCCAGCAGCATTTCCACACACAGAGCCTCTGGGCTGGCCAAGCTGACCCTAAAAACCTTTTTTTTTTAAGACTAACAGCAAGAATTGTGCCATTTTTAAACCCTGCCGTCCTGTGTGAGGTGGTTTTTCACAGAATGCTGCAGACCCTGCTGCAGAAAGGTCTTTTAGCCAGGTTTGAGAAGCAATTTCTGTGGCTGAGAATGAGGCAGCTGTGAGTGCTGGGGAGCAGCAGCACCTGCAGGGGCTGAGGGCAGCGTGGCTCTCAAACAGCAGCACGGTGCCCTCACTGATTTTAGCACTTGTGAAAGGTTTTGCCCTCAAGAATGGGAATTTGCTGTGGCCAGGTGAGGCTGTGCAGTGGAACAGCCCCAGAGCAGCCAGCAGAACTCCTGGGCTCTGCTCATGCACTGGGGCTGCCTTTGTTCTTTAGAAATGTTGGTGCTCAAGGTTGCCTCAGACACAAAGCAGTTGCAGGCTGATGTGAGCCTGCTGTGTGTCCTCACATTGCCCTGGCAGATTGGGGTGCTGCTCCCTCAGCCTCCTGTGCCCTGTGCAATCTCCTGGCTGCACCTGGGGCCACAGCAGCCTTTGGGTGGGGAATATGCAGAATATTACTGAGAAGCCTAAATTTGAATGCTGTTTGTGTAAAAATGGGTTTGTTTGAAACCTCAAGGAGAAGAATTCAGAGAATCACCAGGTTGGAAGAGACCTTCAAGACCATCAAGTCCAGCCCAGCCTCAACACCCGGTGCCACATCCAGGCTGTGTTAAACACACCCAGGGATGGGGACTGCACCACCTCCCTGGGCAGCCATTCCA